CCCTAACCCTGAACCCCAAATCCTAAACTCTAAATCGCCCAATGTCCTCAATTTTCCTGCCCCTGTTATAGCAAATCATAAGACTTGGAAAGTCCGAGGACGGCGCTCCCCAAGATCTGCGGCCTTAGGGATTGGAGAACCACATCGAAGATCAAGTGGATAATGGAAACTGGTGCTAGACAGGACGTTGAGAAGCATCTTAAACGACAAATCGTACTTACATTGGGCCCCTGAGTCTAGAAATATTACCTAGTTGCAGGCACATAGGCGGCACAGGGTTTAGGGTAGCTTCAGGGGATGGAAAGCGGGACTGGGCTGGACAGAGATTTGGAACTCTAGACCTTTCTTATGACAACTCATCAAGAATGCATGCTTTGCGGCTTGCTCTTCTGTAGGATCTGGGGTCTCTAGGGATGATTTGCAGTGGCAAGCTCGCTCTGGTTCCTTTTGCTGTACAGGCAACGGCGGATAATTTCTACCCGCCGCTTTTCCCCGACTGGTGCTGAAAGGCGAGTGTATCTCAGATTAATCCTGCCCGAATGGCTCAACACTGCAAGATTGACGATCCTTTTCTACACCTCCAAACAATCCTGCGGGGACCTTAATGGCTTCATGTCCAAGGACGGACAACAAAACGCAAGCATCTCAAGCTGGGTAGGGGCATTGTCCATTCAAGACCATGTACAATACGAAACTGCAAATAGGCGAGACCTGAAGCAAGGGTAAATGACGTGAGTAAGCCAACATGCTGGAAGTCCTTCAACAGAAACGTTGCAAGATGGCCCACGTGATACCTTGGTCTTTTTCTGCCCGACGCCGCGATGGTCCCATCTGCAACCCCATCTCAGATGTCCATCGCTCAGTGTGTCCTGTCACATCTGCCGGTTGGTTGTTTAGCCAGCTTGAGAGAGATTTGCAGGGATCTTGCCTCGAGTCTCTGCCCTTCCCTTGCTTGGGCACCTAGCCTGAGACACATACAAGCATCACCTTTTGGGCTCTCACCGAAAGAACAACCTGTTGGATGCCGGGTAAAACGTGACAACCCTAAGATGCATTTGCCCGCAGCGGTACCAACGTGTAAGAACCTCTCCCAATCCCAACAGCAGCCTGCACGACCGCTCGGAACCATGAGCAGAATCAGGATTTCTCAAAATCATGGCTCTTCGTTGGAATAATTCTGAGGGGAGAAGATGGAAGCAACCCCCAACAACGAAACAAAATGTGCATAAATTCATGCGCAGAGAAATAGCTCCTTCATCCTAAGCACCGGCTAAAGCAGGGGGGCCCGAATCTGGAGAAACTTCGTGGATCCGGAGCTGCCCAAGACACGAGCCAGAAAAATTGGAAGAAAACCTTGTTCAGCTTCTTCCAAAGAAATAAGCCCGAATCAACCCTAAACCCTCCAATGTAGTACCGTTTTGGTAGTCCTAATAAGAGTCCTAACCAAAAAACCATACCAAACCCAAAAAGGAACTACATTGGAGGGTCTAGGTAACCCCTAGCCCCTAAACCCTACACCCTAAACTGGCCCTAACCCCTAAACACACCATCCAGGAAGCCCAGTTTGAAGAGGCCGTGCTTGGTTCGAAGTATCTTGTTTATGTTGAGACATTTTGGAACCAGCGTGTACTTGACCAAGTTGTCTGCTACCAGAAAACCCCGCGAACCACACTGCATGAAACAGTCTTGCACCACCTCATATTCACCCTACCCGAATATGTTCACACTTTGGGGATCCTCCGCGGTGCAAGACATCCAGAGGAAAAGTCGAATTCCTGGGCCTCCTGTAAAGCCTTGCCAGGACCACAGGAAGATCCAGAGAGTGCGAGTTCTATACAAACACTCAGTAGGGTGGCAGTTCCGTGATCTTGGGAAAGTCTTAAAACCTGAACTCCCTGAACCCTAAAATCCAAAAGCCTCAACCCTACGACCTATGCAGCCAAGTGCAGCCGCAGCCAAGCGGCGCTAGAAAGTCACCGGCGAGCACGGCACAAAGGTCTCCAAATCCCCATTGGGAAATCGCGGTACGCTCCAGGGAACTGTGGCCAGAGGGCAATTGGAGCAAAGCCTTAGTGTAAGGGCTTTGGATTAGAATTACTAGAATTGGAGCAAAGCCTTAGATAATAAGGGCTCAGGATTAGAATTAGTAGGACATGAAAGAATGAACAAGAACATGGAAACTACCATCTAGGGTTTGGAGCAAAGCCTTGCCATCGTTTGGGAATGGAGAATCACATGGAAAAGATAATGGACAATGAAATGGAAGCTGGGGGCTTTTGTTTGATATATATATATATACACAAGTATTTATATGAGTACAGATCTATACTCTATATGTATACACATATATACATGGCTAGCCATATATATATATATATGCGTGTCTAGTTTAGGGTTAACTTGCTGGTAGCTGGTAGGAAATGCAGGAATGGACAAGAACAGGGGGTTGCCAAAGGGATGGCGGAGCGAAGCCTTGATGTTCTCTGAGTGTTGACCTCGTTGAATAGCCTCCCCAAGTGGTCTACGGTCCAAACTCCGAGTAGCTTCCTGCCGCCTTCATAACCCTTTAATACAGGGTTTGGGGCTAAGGGTCTCGGGTCTTAACTCCTAATATCCACCCTTAAAAACCGCGACAGTACTCCTTTCTTTACTCCCCTATATAAAGCCACCTTAAGGAGCAGTTTAGATTAATTATGACTCAGGTGCAGATGGGACAAATCCAGGTATGGCCTAGGCAGAAAAAAACCGTCTATGCGCGTAGCAAAAATCCTAAGGAAATTTGTAAAGTCACGAAACCAGGAACCGCGCTGTGGTAGAGTAGGGCAGTTGCCGAGCTACATGCGCATGAAAAATGGACTTAAAGAAGAATGATTGGCATGCGTATTCGTCGCTTTCCCCCTTTAAGCCCTGCTCCCTCCACTTAACTTGAGAACCTAGACCTTAAACTCCAAACCACCACATGAGCTACAGCCAATATTTCCTTATGCAATTAGTGGACATGGGTCAGGCTTTTTTCAGACTATACTCGACTAGAAAAGGACGACTATATCCACCCCTAACCGTCCCTTGGTAAGCGCAAGATTGTAAACGCACTAAACCCTAAACCCTAAACCCTAAGCCCTAAACCCTAAACCCTAAATCCAGTAGCTCACATGATGAAACTGCCAACAAGAATCGTGACTTCCTCACCCACAGCCAGCGGGGCGTGCTCCGAAAAGGCCACACTTGTAGTGCTTGCCGCAGAGTTCAACACAGAAAGCTGCTCCCCCCTGGTGTTTTGGTTTGGGATGTTGGCCGGAAAAACGAGATTTCCATACATCAGGGCCTCAATGTAGATCAGGATATAGTACAGTTCTTATTATATGGACCCCCAAGCTCAACCTTAATGTATGGAAACCAAATATATCAAACATGTCCCATCATGCTCACACCTTAAGTTCTTGCAGTGCAGTCTCTCAACCCAAACTACACAAGTGAATTTTAAGGACGAAGTATGCCATTCCGTAAAAACCTCAATGCAACACTTTGCCGTGTTGGTTTATGAGCCTCTTGGTCCACACCGCATCACCGTGGAACTCTGCAAAGCCCACGGGCAGAATCGCCGTGTATGTCCCCATCCTTGGGTACATGGGTTGTTCTCAAAATTGTAGGCCCCTTTTGGTTATACATTAGGTGGACCCCCCACCCAGTAATAGTGACTATTATGGATAATAGGGATTATATTAGGGTCCTCTTATATTCCCAGTATACCACTATTACAGGGTGGGGGGTCCTCCTAAGTTATACATTATATTGCGGCACCCAACGTTTTTACTCGAGCTATGCCTTTAGGAAGAATAAAGGATCCGTTTTACAGAAGCATAAGGAATCCCATACCCCAAAATGTACAAACGGGCCCTTGCAGTGGTCCAGTTTAGGGATACCAAAATGATGGGACCCCAATTTTGGGAACTACCAAAAACCCTGAACCCCGAAACTTTAAAACCATGGGACCCAAATTTTGGGAACTACCCACATTTTTGGTGGGGATGGGTTAGATGGTTGGCCCGTAAAGCCCTTTGAAATATGTTAGCATATAGGGTCCCTTATGAAAGCCCTTAGGGAAAATAGTAAATATCTAGATATACGTATGCAATATACAGTATGTGGACCTTAAACCCTAAACCCTAAATGCTAAATTTAAATCCTAAACCCCAAACTCTAAACCCTAAGTTCTAAACACGGGTGAGTGGAACCCCCAATTTCAGGGGCCTACCCAGGTTAGAGGGGAGGTTGAAGGTGAAGCTTGGCCTCCACACATGCAAACAAGAATACTGATGTAGGGTTTAGGGTTTAGGGTTTAGGGTTTAGAGTTTAGGGATTTAGGGGTGGCCTAGCGGTTGACGGTTTAGGGATTTAGGGTTTCGGGGTTCCGGGAGTTAGGGAGTTAGGGATTCAGGGTTTTAGGGTTTAGGGATTTAGGTTTTAGGGGCTTAAGGATTTAGGCGTTGAGGCATTTAGGGTTTAGGGATTCAGGGTTTTAGGGTTTAGGGATTTGGGGTTTGGGGATTCAGGGTTCTAGGGTTTAGGGGTTTAGGGATTTAGGGGGTTGACGGTTTAGGGATTTGGGTGTTAGGGATTCAGGCGTTAAGGGTTTAGGGATTCAGGGTTTTAGGGTTTAGGGATTTAGGGGTTAGGGTTTAAGGATTTAGGATTTTAGGGTTTAGGGATTTAGGGGTTTAGTGGATTAGGGTCCAAGGATTTAATGGTTTAGGCTTTGGTTTAGGGCCATAAACCTACTAACTACTAGGTATTTGGGCAGCACAGATCACTTTGCATGGTCCCTGCAAGCCTTAGCCACGCCTTGGGCGGCCTACAGCAAGGGCAGCCAAACATGCTGCCCAAGAAAACTTACTGGTTCTTCGTAGGGAAACATGGAATCTCTGATATAGGGATTTTATAGGGATTGCATTCTCTAATTCTCTACCTCACAACCAGTAAGAAAGACGTGCAAAATGAAAAGGAGCATCGAAAGCGTTGTCCTGTTCAAATCGCAGTCGGCACCTGCTGGCCCAGCATTGTACACAAAGCCCACGTAACAAAAGAAAAGAATCCAGAACTCCAGGAAGAAACTGCTCCCAAACGAGACAAGGCAGCCTTGCGGGCAATAGCCCAGTCGAGTGCTTCCCGGCAGGAAGGTGATACTGGAGACAGAAGTCTTCCAGGTCATCGCTAGCCTGGGTTGATAGTAAACAACTTCAACTCAAATTACCACACTGTGGGCTTGTACAAGAATGGAGCTAGCAGAGTTTCCTTAATATGTTAGCTGTTAACTTCTCTTAGGTTCTCTAATAGTAGCCCAGTAACGGACCAAGATTGGCTTGTTCCGGATCTCCAAACAGCCCTTGGCCAACTCGCAGCAACCTGAGTTCAGCACATCTGCGGATTTGGAATATGGAAGTTTCCCAAAATTAGGGGTACCTTTTGGGGTTCCTTTCATAAGGATCATACTCTTTTTGGGTTTATATTGGGGTCCCCCTGTTTAGGGAAACTACTCTATGTACATGCCCACTTCCCTGAAGCCAGCAGCTCCCGTAAAGCCGAATCTGAACCGAAGCATCGCAAGTTTTCCTGGGGGATGCGGTGATTCTAGTCTATTGAAGGCACTGCTCACAAATGTGAACAGCACCAACGAGGGATGCAAAAAAATCTAGGTAAATCTCTTATCCGTGTACAACATTATGGGTTCATCTTCCTCCTTATCGTTTTACATTATTTTCAACACTACTACATCATGCTAATATACTCTAGTACTGAAAATCTCAAAGCGCTGCGCTGCACGCCTCTTGGAATCTGGGTTTGAGGCTTAGCATGGGAGGTTGCATTGTGAAGGTAAGTTGTTGAGGCCTTGTGAAACCAGCTTAAAAGTTGTTTTTCCGGTGACTTTTTTGCACTGCAGAGATCACCTCTGCTGCTATGTGCGGGTTCTTCAGCGCCTCAATTGCACTGGCAGTGAGAACTTAGGCAGGAACTAGCATGGCTGGCAAAGCCTAGTCTGGGGAAACCAGCATTCTCGTTTTGACTAGCGTTTTGGACACAGACGTTTCGCAAATTTTGGCCCTAGCTCAGGGGATGTCTCGGTCGAAGGGCTTAGAGTCTAGCCGGGGTCAGACTAAGATGTGCGTTCTTGAATGTTATTGTTGCCTATTCCTCTTTCTTTATCGTTTTTCCAAGAAATGGAGATGGCGATGCAACTGCCGGCCTATCCTTACTTAAATCTCATACTGGGGGTTATTTTGCATCCCCAAGTGATATCATGGACACAACTAACACGAGTTTTTTCATGAGAGGGCATTAGTAACCCTCAACCCCCTTCTTCAAGTAACAGGATCTTTGACTCCAACGTCCGAACTTGTACTGCCGTTCTGTTGGGCATACGCTGTCAAAGCCTCTGTGGCGAAACTCATGAAACTACAGCATAGCTGCAATCTCGATAGCATTCCTGTCCACTATATCAGGGTCTTTAGGGCCTACAGAAGTACCACTATTCTAATGTTATGGGGCATATACTAGGTATGTAAGGAAAAGGGACCAAACCAGGGGCCCATGGTTTCAACCTTTGAAATTTATTCGAAGTACCTTGCACCACAGTTGTACAAGGAATCTAGGACAACGGTGTTGGGATTTATTCAAGCTTCTACATCCCTGCCCCCAACAGTGCCCCTTCTGCATTTTTGCGCGTGCACATGCCGCAGGTAGAAATAAAGCTCATATACATCCAGGTATGCAAGTACATTCGGATGCCTCCTGCAACCCGAAGCATGCACAGGCACGAAGAACATCCAAAAAGGCAGAATGCCTTGAAGACACCAAAACGGCACACAAACGCACGCATGCAAACTTGTCTTTTCAAGGCCTGGCCATGTCCGGTCATGAGAGCCCCGCCTACATTCACAATGAGCATGTCACACTCAAGCTGGACCTGTACCTTGTAATAGTAACACTCGTCATAGTACTAATAGTAAATGTAGTACCCCAATTAAGTTCAAGTGAGCAAGCGTCACCAGAAACCTTCAACCCCCACAATCTCTAACGAAACAAAACCCTAGACTCAACGCAAGAGTTTCTCGAAAAAGGGGCCGCGCCAGGAATTTTGAGGAATCAGAGATTAAATATTCTGCCCCTTTGTTGGAGGCATCCATTGGAGAAACCCCAAAACCCTAAAGCCTAAACTCAAGCCCTAAACCTTGAACTGAAACCTACCAGCATGTGAGCTATCGTCTAAACTCCTAGTATTCCCCTTAATAACCCCTCTAATAGCCCCCTATACAACCCCTTTTAAGGAGTTTAGACCCTAAATCCTAAACCCGAAATCCTAAACCCTATACCCTACATAACCCCCTATATAGCCCCCTTCAAGGAGTGTAGACTATAGCTCATGTGGGACCAAGCAGCCACCTAGGGGGTAGGGCGGCAACGACAGGTGCAGCTTTGGAAGTCGCCAAGCCTCCAGAGACTTGAATCACCTGGCTCTGGTGAAGCTACCAAGCCTTAACTTACTAACTAACTAAATGAATATATATATATGTACATCCATATTCATGTGTATACATATGTATATATATATACACATATATATGTATATATAAACGTGCATGTATATAGGGCTTAGGGCTTTGGGTTGGTTAGTAGGGAATAAGGGAAGATAATCCCATATAATCCCAATATAATATATTCCTTTTTTCCCTACTAGCCCCGATGAAGTTAATCACAAGTGAAAAGCGGCATTTAGAAGCCCATTTCAGCATAATGATCACTGGACCCATGCACAAATTCATGAGCCGGTGAGTAGTGAAGACTTTGTGCTGGGATTGCCAGTCTCGAAGGCTGGATGCGTGGCCTGCGCGAACTACAGGCCGCACTTCGCAACTTTCAGGAGCCATTTGCGGCTGTAGAGGCGTAGGCCCTTCAGGACTTGGTTTCTTGGCTTAAACCTCTGCTTTGCGATCCAGTCACCACGTGTCCTGCTCTGCCAGACCCATGCAGAACCTTGGTTTTGGCAGGTGAGGTTAGTCTGAAAATCAGTTTCTTGTGACAGTAGGAAATCAAACCTTTAGCAAGGCCAAGTGTCATCGCAAGTGTAGCTGTTCTACAACTTCTGTGCGTAATCATGAGTTCTTACCATCAAACTTCTAACGAAGCTTTTTTGACCTATCCCTACTTTCGCGCAAAGGAACTGCTTCTGCTTGAGCCTCCAAGTACGACATTTGCCTCAAGGCTTGCCCAGTGAGTCTCAGGTCGTTGATGCAGCACAGCTTCCTGAAAAAGGCTGCTGTTCTCTGCAGCTTTAGGGTTTAGGGTTTAGGGAAGGGACCCCTATTTTTAGATTTTAGTCCCTGTACCTACTATCCCATGCAATGTTTTCCTCTGTTTGCTTCCATACTTCCTGTCAACCACGATAGGCTCTGAGGAGGTAAGCGAAGCAGGATACAGAATCTGATGGTACATCTCTCAGTTGTGAGACTGCCTAACCTTAAACCCTAAACCCGGTTTGAGGTTTATGGTGCGTGGTCTGAGCTGTCCACCTGGGCCTGAAATCTTTTATCAGAAGCTGCATATGCTCTCGACTTTGGGTGTCAGGAAATTCTGCCAATAGCCCAGGCTTTGGATCCTGAAGCTTGTCTCCATGTTAGGCATAGCACAGGTGATGAAAAACGAAGGGCAGCAGATAAAAATGTGATGCCGGCAGCATACTGATCTCTGATTGCTAACTTGAAGCTGGAACCATGGCGTATCTTGAGCTTTGACGAGCAGACTGCCGAAGCCCTGAATACGTCTTCCGCCTGTAGAATCTGCGGCTGGTAGCAAGACAAGAAACTGTTTCTTGTGTAACTCCTCGGAGTTGGGATGTGTGGCGTGGCACTTTTCTCCGGCCACAGGAGCGCAACCCCCAGCTACAAAACATGAATGACACCCAGCTGCGTATAGATGCTTTGTAGACGAAACCTTACGTCTGCAAGGCCACGAAAAACAATCTAATTCCTTCCGCCTAACTGACTTTGAAGATTTAGAGAACCAGCACGCTCGGCCTTCCGAGGAACATTTCTTATCCAGTCCTTACTAAAACGTTTGAGAACACAATTGCTATTGCGTTTCCCGTTTGCATTTCATACCAACAGATGTGGGAAAAAACAGAAGAGCAAAAGCCGAAAACCTGTTTGGGCGCGCCAAGACGTAGTGCACAGCAGTGAGGGCGATGCCCGGCCTCAGGCCTGTGCGGCCGATACCCGTATCCTTGGGTCTATGGAGGAAAACGTACTGGTTGTCAGTAGGAATGGAAAAGAACATGGCGCACAGCAGTAAGTCAATGTCTTCTGGGTTTGGGCTTCAGGTCTTGGGTTTAGGGGGTTCGGGTTTAGCTTGACCATTTTGAGTCGGAGGCTTTAGGATCTGTAATCCGACTTAAATAGATAGAATAAAGTCTTCAGGGAAGCCCGAGAGCACTCCAACCATAATAAAATGAAGGTCTCAACCCTGTCCCAGTGTCCACAAACCTGTATCTCCACCGTGTATAAACATACTATATTCATTACATCTGGGGAGCCGCCAAGCACCATCCATGATACTGATGCCTACGAATTTTTGGTGCCCAAAGACAAACACTAAGCCAGCATAGAGCCCTCTACATTGAACAGTAGTCTTTGTGTTAGTTTGGGGGCGAGTACATACCCTAAAGCCTGAAACCTTACACCCATGTATCCCTGTATTTTCTATACATATCCCCATATATCCGTGTATGTCCTATCTGATCTATATATTCCCCAGCAAAGTGTCGATTTCCAGGTGTATCTTGGCCGGCCGCTGACAGCGATTGCCTTGCTGATGCTTCAGGGGCAGTGCGGGAGTGCATACAGCAACCATTATAAGGGTATGCATCGGGTTTATATAGGCACCCTAAACCCCAAATGCTTAAGTCCACTTGCCCACTCAATATTCCAAGGCCTAAACACTAAACCTTAAACCCTAAACTCATTATCCCAATACCCTAAACCCTAATTACACCCTAAAACCCTAATCTACCCTAAGCACCAGTAAGTTGCGGCTCGCCAAGATCCAGCGGAATGATTGGATCGCCAGAGCAACTCCTGGTGGCTCCAAAGTTTAGGTTTCAGGGCTTCGGGTTGAAGAATGAAATGATGAATAACAGCAATAGTAATGCTAATAGTAATAGTAATAGTAGTAGTAGTAGTAGGAGTAGCAGTAGCAGTAGCAGTAGCAGTAGCAGTAGCAGTAGCAGTAGCAGTAGCAGTAGCAGTAGCAGTAGTAGTAGTAGTAGCAGCAGTAATAGTAGATCGGCATTCCGTTTGTGATACCGTA